GAACAAAGTAGGAGGCCTCACATTACCAGATCTCAGACTCTATTATACAGCCACGTTAGTCAAAACAGCCTGGTACTGATACAATGACAGACACATAGATCAATGGAACAAAATTGAGAACCCAGAAGTAAATCCATCCACCTATGAACAAATGATCTTCAACAAAGGGACGAAGTCCATTATATGGGGAAGAGAAAGTCTCTTTAACAAATGGTGCTGGCGAAGCTAGATATCCATTTGCAGAAAAATTAAACAAGATCCACACCTCACACCATACACAAAAACTAACTCAAAATGCATCAAAGATCTAAATGTAAAACTTAAAACTATAAAGATCATGAAAAAAAGAACAAGGACAATGCTAGGGGCCCTAATATATAGCATAAATAGAATACAAAACATAATTAAATATGCACAAACAGCAGAAGATAAACTAGGTAACTGGGATCTTCTAAAAATTAAACACTTATGCTCACCAAAGACGTCACCAAAAGAGTAGAATGAGAATCTACAGACTGGGAAAAAGAAAAAATTTGGCTACAACACATCTCACAAGGATCTAATCTCTAAAATTTACAGAAAACTTCAACAACAAAAAGACAAATAACCCAACTGAAAAACAAACAAAGGATATAAACGGACACTTCACCAAAAAGACATTCAGGCAGCTAAAAAACACATGAAGAGACGCTCATTATCATAAGCCATTAGAGAGATGCAAATCAAAACTACAACGAGATACCATCTCACCATGGCAATAATGGCACCGATCAAAAAAGCAGAAAACAACAAATGCTGGCAAGCTTATGGGGAGATTGGAACTCTTATATATTGCTGGTGGGAATGTAAAATGGTACAACCACTATGGAAAACGGTATGGTACCTCCTTAAAAAGTTAGAAATAGAAATACCGTGTGATCCAACAATCCCACCTCCTAGGTATATACCCTAGAGAAATAAGAGCCATGACAAGAACAGACACATGCACACCTATGTTCATTGCAGCATTATTCGCAAAAGCAAAAAGACAGAAACAACCTACCCATAAAACTCGTTGTGATCAAGTCAATTCCAACTCATAGTGACCCTACAGGACAGACCAGAACTGTCCCCTAGAGTTTCCAAGGAGCGCCTGGTGGACTCAAACTGCCAACCTTTGGTTAGCAGCCGTAGCACTTAACCAATATGCCACCATGGTTTCCAGAAAGAACCTAAGTGTCCATCAATAGATGAATGGATAAACAAACTGTGGTACATACATACAATGGAATATTACACAGTGAAAAAGAATAATGATGAATCCATCCACAAAACATCTCACAGCATGAATGGACCTGGAGGACATTACACTGAGTGAAATCAGCCAATCACAAAAGGACAAATATTGTATGAGACCACTATTATAAATAGTCAAGAAAAAGTTTACACACAGAAAGAAACCCTTTTTTATGTCTACCAAGGAGGGAAGGGGGAGGGAGTGAAAATGACTAGAGAGTAGACTCGTTATTATACATTGAATTGTGTCCCCCAAAAATAGGTATCAACTTGGCTAGTATTGTGTGGTTGTCCAGTTTGTGATCTGATGTGATTATCCTAAGTGTTGTAAATCCTAAAATCTATGATGTTAATGAGGCAGGATTATAGGCAGTTATGTTAATGAGGTAGGACTCAATCTACAGGATTATGCTGTATCCTGAGTCAATCTCTTTTGACATATAAAACAGAGAAGCAAGCAGAGAGGATTGGGACTTCATACCACCAAGAAAGGAGTGCTGGGAGCGGAGCATGTCCTTTGGACTCGAGGTGTCTGTGCTGAGAAGCTCCTAGATCAGAGGAAGACTGATGACAAGGACCTTTTCCCAAAACCAACAGAGAAAGAAAGCCTTCCCCTGGAGCTGGCGCCCTGAATTCGGACTTCTATCCTCCTAGACTATGAGAGAATAAATTTGTTTGTTAAAGCCATTCACTTGTGGTATTTCTGTTGTAGTAGCACTAGATAACTAAGACACATGTGTGTTAACTTTGGTGAAGGGTAAGGAAGTACATAATATAGGGGAAGTCAGCACAATATGACCAAGGCAAGGGAAGACGCTGAAAGGTACACAAGAATAAAAGGTAACGATGGTAAATACTATAACATATACAATCCTGCAATAACAGTAATAACAAACAATAATTTATGAGTAGATACACAGGTAGATATGTATGCTAAATAGGTGTGGGAGGGTGTATGGGCGTACACCCACGTGCAGATACAGGTTTGGCTGTGGCTATTTCAACATACATATTTGTATGTGCTACATGTATATTCACATATATAACAGAACACACAAGGGTAACAGTCATGGAAAAATCCTAGATATAATCAAACACCTTGTGGGACTGAGTTGCTGGGCTTGAAGGTTAAGGACCAGAGTCCTGGGGGACATCTAAGTCAACTGGCATAACATAGCTCATAAAGACAATGTTCTACATTTTACTCTGGTGAGTAGCATCTGGGGTCTTAAAAACTTGCAAGCGGCCACCTAAGATGAGACTATTGGTCTCTTTCTTTTTGGAGCAAAGGAGAGTGAAGAAAACCAAAGACTCAAGGAAACAATCAGTCCAAAGGACTAATGAACCACAGGAACCACAGCCTGCACTAGCCTGAAACCAGAAGAACTACATGGTGGCCAGCTACCACTACTGACCTCTCTGACCAAGATCACAATAGGTCTCGATTAGAGTGGGAAAAAATATAGAACAAAATTCAAATTCATAAAAAAGACCAGATTTACTGGTCTGAGAGAGCCCAGAGGAATCCCTAAGACTATGGCTCATAACACCCTTTTAACTTGGACCTGAAGCCACTTCTGGAGACCACCTTTCAGCCAAATAACAGACAGGCCTATAAACTAAACAATAACACCCACACAGAAAGTGCTCCTTAGAACAATCATTTATATGAAACCAAAAGGGCAACATCTGCCCAAAAGCAAAGATGAAAAGGCAGGAAGGAGCAGGAAAACTGGACAAATGGAAATGGGGTGGTGTCATGGATTGAACTGTGCCCCCCAAAAATACGTGTCAACTTGGTTAGGCCATGATTCCCAGTATGGTGTGACTGCCCACCATTTTGTCATCTGATGTGATTTTCCTATGTGTTGTAAATCCTATTACTATGATGTTAAAGAGACGGATTAGCAGCAGTTATGTTGATGAGATCTACAAGATTAGATTGTGTCTTAAGCCAATCTCTTTTGAGATATAAAAGAGAGAAGCGAGCAGAGAGACATGTGGATCTCATACCACCAAGAAAGCAGCACTGGGAACAGAACGTGTCCTTTGGACCCGGGGTCCCTGCGCCTGAGAAGCTCCTCCACCAGGGGAAGATTGATGACAAAGACCTTCCTCCAGAGCCAACAGTGAGAGAAAGCCTTCCCCTGGAGCTGATGCCCTGAATTCGGAATTCTAGCCTGCTAGACTGTGAGAGAATAAATTTCTCTTTGTTAAAGCCATCCACTTGTGGTATTTCTGTTATAGCAGCATTAGATGACTAAGACAGGTGGTAACGGGGAGAGTGCTGACACACTGAAGGGACTTGCAACCAATGTCACGGAACAATTTGAGTATAACTTACTGAATGGGAAACTAATTTGCTCTGTAAACCTTCACCTAAAGCACAATTAAAAAAAAAAATCTATTTAGATATGGCTGCTAACCAAAAGGTGAGCAGTTCAAATCCACCAGCTGCTCCTTGGAAACCCTATAGGGAGTTCTGCTCTGTCCTCCAGGGTCACTGTGGGTCACAACTGACTCGACGGCAACAGGTTTTTTTAAATCATATACTGAAATATACTTACCTATCTTCACAGAAATAATTGTTAAAATTTATTTTTAAAACTGAGATTAAAAAATCAACTCTATTCTAAAAAAAAGAGAAAAAAAGAATCCAAGGAAACACAGGTGGGATGCCGAGTCCATGCAATAGCTGAAAGAGATATCCTTCCTATCTTTGGAAAATTGCATATAGATGCTAATAAAGACATAAGCTTACCAACCGCACAACTGTGAATGACCAAATCTCTACTCCTAAATCTCTGTCAGAGACAACTTTAGCACAATTTCTCTTTAAAGTATGTTCTTCCTTCACAGCTTTAAAACTAAATCTCAATCAGGGACAAATTCCAGTTTCCTACAAGCAGAAAAACTAGAACACACATACAGCATGGAAATATGCTCCTTCCTATTCCAAATCTCCATCCTAATCCAGGCCTCCATCATCTTCCACACGTATAGCAGTGTCTCCTGCTGGATGTCTCTTCCCCTCAGCAAATATTTCTGAATGATGCCTCGTAAAATTTAAAAACAACAATAGTTATTTCCACTGCTTATTTGAATTACATGTCAGTCGAGCTCAAATTGTAGCAGAACGGTCACTGATACGTGTTGGATGGCTTGAGGTTGGGCATATAACCACTCCTTAGGACCTCACTTTTCCGAGCTTGAGAATTAGGAGAGTGCCTCACACAAAGCCAAGCTCTCCTAGCAGGCCAGCACCTGGGCTAACACTAACAATCCTTATGTCTCCAAATTTGAGAACAGGCTCCCTTGAGATCTGCAAAGAGTTAAACATCCTGGGACAGGACACTATCACCTTGCCAGACTGGTGCCTTCCTTAGAAACCTGACTCCATTTAGAATGTTTTTACCCACTGACACTTAGTAGTCATGAATCTCTATGGACACTTAATTCTTGTTGCCTAGAGATATAATGATACACATAAGGCAAAAACAAGTACAGAAGGGCTAAAATTAATTTTCAGATCTTGCATTCTTTCCATGAGATCATACTGTTGAAACACATTCTTAATTCCTAAAAATTAAATCTTATGTTAACAGTACACTAAATATAATCCTTAAGATACGAAAATTATCTTTCTGCCATGCTACTATACATACCTATTAAAAAGTTAACTTTCCAGAAGCAGAAATGCAGTGTAAAATCCCAAAGACACTTACCCAAGAAAACAATCTGTATCATTCATCCACTGATTTATAAACTGTACAGTTATAGGTCCAGGATTGTGAGGTAACTGAATTTGTTCTAATGTATGTAGCAGCAAATCAGGGTTGTAGTACAAGGCAGCAATTGCAACCTGAAGACACATAGTACGGAGCTCACTGGTTTTGACCCCTCGAGTTAATCGCTCCAAAACAAGTTGAACAAAGAGAGGAATGCACTAGAGGAAGAAAAACAGAGAGAGAGTCAACCACATACAAAGCAACTGAGGAACTTTTATGGAGACCAAATGTTGGCAAGAGTGTTTGCAATAAATAAGATAGTAGTTTTAAACAAGAAGTCTATAAAACTTCTGCTTATTTAAATAGCTTTTGGAGTTATTAAAAAAATTTATATTCTAGTAAAAACCCAAAGAGATTAAACATCAAAAAAAAAGGTCCTAGAGCAGTGCCAGGAAGTCTTCTTCCTTTCCAAGTGCAAATTAGAGTTAGTTGAAGATTGCCCTGTAAGAGACCACACTCTAAATGTGGACTTGGCCATTTCCGCATTTAAGGTAAAATGCTAGGGTGGGATTTTCCTTGGATAAATCAAATTGTAAATTAATGAATGGAACTAAGAATGAGCATGATGTGACCAGAATTTCTCTTAAGAAAATTACTGTTGATACAAGTAAAAGAAGAAAAAGACTAAAGAAAAAATCGCAGCCTCAGCACATTAAAAATGAAATCATCTGACTTCAAATCTAAATGGCAATACTGACTAACTAGTTTTATTAGAAATATTTCCTGATTATTATTAGTTAAAAAGGATGGGCTGAAATGATTTGTATAAAATAAAATAATGAGGTTTTAACATAAGCTCATTTTAAAATTAAACTTTAAAAATCAAGGTTTCATGTAATTATAAAGTAAAATTTGAAGTGTTTTCCTCAGTAGGTCAAACTATAAATTCATTAAGATGAGCAA